CACCAACGACCGGTTGAGATCGAGACCGAGTCGGAATCCCTTTCGACTGACAGCATACTCACACTATGAATTTTTTTACTGCGCTCTGGACGGTATTGAGGACAGATTCATCCAGGTCTACAGCCATAATTGTAGTCGGATACACTTGGGAAAGTACCAGTGTGTGTAGGCCCTCACATGAGTGAAGTAATTCTGTGAATTCACCTGGGGACAGGACCCTCTAGCGCCGTTTTTTACTCTCACAGCCTGGACATTTTCAAGGATGTGTGGCAGAGAGTGATGCTCACACACTCCGTGGATGGAGGGGGGGACCACATGGGTATCCCAATTTTGAAACCGAACATGAATGCATGAAATTCTTTAGCAAAGGGGGGGGGACCACATGGGTATCGCAATGTTAAAACCGAACAGAACATCGATGCATGAAATGCTTTAGCAATGCCCTGAACTGAGAAAAAATGGCTCTGAAATCACGTGGGCCCCGGTCCCACTAGTGCCGTTTTACTCTCGCAGCCCGGCATTTTCACGTTGGTGGCATTTTCGCATTTGTGCAGCAGACGGTGACGCAGACACTCTGGCGGTGGACGGGGGAGGGTTGCCTGGGTATCGCAGTTTTGATGTAGAACACCAATACATGAAATTCTTTGGCTCTTGACATCGCATTTTCACTGTGGGAGTGATGCGGTTTTGCCCCCTTCGGAACAGCGGGGGTGCAAGCAAAATCACAACACCTACAGTGATTCAGGTCGACTAAACGACCGACAAAAAGAAAACAAAGTCGTGTGAAGACCTCATGAAGACCTGTAGTAGCATGTTCATACCTAGCTCCCGAAGTCCCCGTGCAATCAGGCTTGCACGGCGTCTGCTTCAACCAGGGCTGAGCAGGGGGTAGGAGTCTCTGCTTAGCCCCAGTACCTGCCACCGCTGCCTCGTCAGGTCACCCGACAACATCTTTCGAAGTATGCGGTGGCAACCTTACGGCTCAGAGAGCAGACGCTTCGCGTCTGAATCCCACGAAGGCGCAAAAGCGCGTAAGAATTTGACTGTCTTTGCGGATACCGCTAAATACATCAAAAGACACCAAGATGGCAATGGGTGATGGTCCTGGGTCGTTAACACTAGAGAAAGCACAGTGACTCCTCTCTAACTTCGTGTGAATTCACTCGCACTATTCCGATTGGCTGCAACATGCGCCCTTGGGTACGAAGAAGAGCAATAACCAATAGGAATAGTGTGGTGATGATAGAGAGCCCATGGGTATCCTCCGTTCCCTCGTATGTCCCTGAGGCCCGTTCCGACCATGACACCCCCGATACCACTACAGCTTTTCACAAATAAATATTTAATCCAATTATGTAATTTCTGTCTTCTATCTATATATTAATTCAATTCAATCAATCAATTCAAAAATCTATTCCAAACAAAAAGCTTTTGTCTTTTCTTTGAATTGTTTTTTGAATTTTAATTACTAATTCTACTTCATTGTAACTTCTTGTAATATTATTCTTCTTATTAAGTTATTATACATTTTTCTATTTGTTATGTATTAATTTTTTGTACTTAACGAGATATTCCATTATTATATATGAGATATAATATGAACATCTAGGCTACCAGACTCGCCCGGGACCACTGGCCCGGGTGAGCCGAAAAAAAATAAAAAATAAAAATTAAAAAACATATTTTTAAACTTCATTTTTCATTTTTTATTTGGTTAAGAATTTCGTTGTGACCCTGARRMAGATTTGMAATTCGGAAAAAAAAAAAAAAGGTTGTTCAGTTTATCTTTTTTTTTTTTTTTTTTTTTTAATCCAACATCAGCATTTATTACCAAATCATGACTCGAGGCCGGGGACCTCACAATTCCACCCGGTGTTATCTCGGCAGCCAGGTTGCTTCCTAAAACCCCCTAACCTCCCAACTAAGCTCCCCCAACTATAACCACCTACCCCTTCCTAGCCTTCTAACCAAGGGGAGATATGGAGCTTGCCATCTACTATCTTAGCTAGCGCCCCTGGTCTTGCCCAAGTCACCTCGAACCAACGCCTCCCAGCCACGCCAGTACCTTGTACCACTTTCCGCCTCCAATGCGCTCTGATCTCCAGCTTCAGTCCTGAAGAGGTTCTCCGCCTGCTGTTCTGAAAGCTCTCGGGTCTGGAATCTCTGTCCGTTCCTGTCCAACCAGATGACCCACATCATCACGACCCTGGTCACTTGGGCCATGTAGCCCCAACCTGAATCAGACGGTTCCCCGTGAGGCAGGAAGCCTTGGGACCCACGCCACATCCTGGGCAAATTTCCTTCCAGACATCTTTTCCCAGTGCGCAAACCACCAGAGCCACCATATCCTGGAGCGTGGGCAGTCCCACCACATGTGGGTCATAGACTCCACCGGCCAATCACATCTATCACACTCCAGGCGGACCTGAATACCCCTCTGATTTAGCCACCTGGCTGTGGGGACTGCCAGGTGTGACTGCAACCATAGCAGAGAAGCTATCTTCTGTGATGGCAGCCCCGCCAGCTGTCTCCACAGACACACCAGCTGTTCTTCTGACGGAACCGGTATTGATGGTTGAGATCGCTCCCACCTAGGGATTAGCTTATCCAACGTACTCCCCCGCTTCTTCTGCGACTGAGCAGCTCTCACTGTATTCAGTTTACACAGGTCTTTGATCACCTCTCCCTTCACCTCCCACCCCCACATAAGTGGATCGATCCTCAGGGAACTCTTAGGGGTACCCCCTGCTACCACGCTGAAAACCAGGTGACCCTGTCTGCTGGGCGGAAGGCTTGATCTAACCCTGACCTCCTGTAGGGTCCCCAAGCCTCTGCGGTCAACTGTACCAGACCGAACTAAGGCCGTAGAGGATGCGGCTTCTTTTGAGAACTCATCCAGACTGCACTTCCCATTCTCCTCCTCGTCCCAATTGAGTAGCCTGAAGAACTTCCCTTCCTCCTCACCCTGAGTCCCACGGAACCATGTACCCAGGGGATTGATCCCCTCTGGACCCAGCAGTCTCTTCCAGTGCACAGGAATTGCCTGAACTAACAGGTCCCTTCTTTCTGCTTGTGCCGGGAGTCTGCCCAATTTCTCTTTTAGTTGATCCGGAGGGCGCCACTGATTAGTAGTCTCATCCCACAAATCGCCCGCTGTCACCACCCCCCTCTGGACCCACTTCTGCCCAAATGCCCCCGGAGATGCAGTTGCTGAGAATGCAGAGCCGTCTGGGGCTTTGATCAGGTAGTTCTCAAACAGAGGCTGTGCCCTCACTTCCTCTTTCGACAGGTAGTTTATCTTTTTTCATAACATAGCTTTTTTTGCAGATTTTTTTCTGTTGTTTTTTTCTTTGCATGGACCCACTTTGGCCCTTGCACGACCGGGCTGCCCGTGGAAACAAGTCACCCGGACGGCCCGGCTGGTAGCCTAAATGAACATGCAATAAAAAAATATACAATAAATACATTACTCGTGTTATAAGATAATAAATATATGTTATGATATATATGTTATTTAACTTATTTTATATATATTCTAGTTAGATGTTTGACCATATTTTCTGCATTCAGTCTTCAGCAATCTCTGCACCATTGCTTCGACCTGAACAATTAATGCGAATTAAACAGCTGGAGATATCAGAAGTGAGAATGCCGACATGAGTAACAAAAAATCAGGTGAAAAACACGATGAAACCTCAAAAAAGTACGGCCACTAGCCCTAGCCAGCGACCGCCGAGCTGTTTGGGATCCTCATAGACCTGATCAGCGGAATGAATGAATAACGGCCTACCCTATATTTATTCAGTTATTGAAATTAATCTCTTATTAATTTCATTACGTATATCACTATTCACTCGACTCTAGCCTTTTCTTTAGTGTCCAATTCTATATGGATTCATATCATCATACATAATGAAATTAGCAACAAAGAGCAGAGCCAGTCGACATAGAGAATTACCATCAGATAATAATAGAATAGATCCATCCTAGACTTTCGCCCCCACAAGTACATCACATGTTTTTTGTTGTGCAATAGCAGAAAACAAACTTGGATCCAAAAAAAAAAAAAAAAAAAAAAAAAAAAAAACTTCGATCAATTGATTTTAACAACTCCCTTGTTCATATTTAAGAATTTTAGAAATCTGAATTTGATTGAAACAAACCTTTTTTTGAATTGCTCAAAATCACTCCATAGACGAGTAATAAGATATAATGGCATTTTTATAAGAAAAGATTTCTGGAAAGATGGCTAAAAAATCATTGTCAAACATGGCTATCTTCTCTTTTTTGGTCGGCGGCCGGTCAAATACAAAGGCCCTTTAGGGCCCTGATTTCCCATTTTGTACTAGTACCACCTGCCTCACCTACTACTTTCCACCTGATCCACATAGTATCACCAGGGCCACAGCACGCCCAGTCCACATAGCATGACCTGCCTACCTCACTCACTATCGACCAACCCACTTAGTAGCATGCACGCCTGCCAGAAGGATCTCAAAGAGCTCGGCGGTTGCTGGCGAGTACCACACAGTCCACATAGGGTTACCTTCCCCGCATCGCAGGGCACAACTCACATCCCACATGTGGGAACCATGTGTGGTACCATGTTGTGTGATCGGGCCATACCATGAGGTATCACCCCATCACACATGGAACCGACCATGGTCGTAACATGTGCAGTACCCTGTGGTACGACCCCACATCACACATGATGGTGCCATGTGTGATCCACATCGCACGACCCACCCCACATGGTATGGGCCCCACCCACACACAATCGCCCAGACCCGACCCACGGTGGACATAACCCAGGCCACGTAATAGCAGTCAGCGCGAATAGTACCGGCTGGTGGAAAGGGTCGAATTGTGGCTGACGTTGGCCTTTCTTCGTTTTGCTTTTCTCATGGCCGAGTGTCGTCTGTTTTTCTTTTTTCAGGGTTGGGGTGCGTGTGTTGGTACGATCCAGTGCGCATCATGTGGCCCGGGGTCATGAAATAGCGCACACTCATTTCAATTCATTTTTCGGACCTCCCTTCCGTGTCACAAACAGGAAAAATTGCAAAGACAAACACACACAATCACGTGTGTGGATCTCATCTCATCTCCCTCCCGCAGCGTGCCTCGACTTCTTGTTGAATCTCACATATGATTATATCAATCAATGATGAATAAATTGGCATCGACTGCTCTTGCTCTTTACAGGTGGTGGTGGTGAGAACTGGGGACCCCACCTGTAGTCTCAACCAATGACCGATGCTCGTACTCTTTACAGGGGGTGGTTGTGACCCCACCTATAAAGCTAAATTCACTAACAGGTGGTGGTCCTGACCCCACTGTAATATTATCAATTTATTTATGAATCAGCGACTGCTCTTGCTCTTTACAGGGGTTGGTTGTGACCCCCCCCCCCCCCCTGTAACCACCACCCCCCTGACTGCTCTTGCTCTTTACAGGGGATGGTTGTGACCTCACCCTGTAACCACCCCCCCCTTGTAAAGCTAAGCCCCCTGCTGATGACAAGTTTGCAGCTCTGTTGCTGCCAAAGTCCCTCACATTAGAAGCTTTGGCGATGCGGCATCCAAATTGGATGGCACGTTTCGGAAGTGCAGCGGCACCAGCGAGCCCGAGACGGCGGGCAACTTCTCGCAAAATTAATTTCTCCCCCCTGCCCATTGGTTTGGTAAGATCGGCTATGGCCCAGAGCGGAACTGCCAGAAGGGTCAGCATGACATCTTCATCCAAAAAGGGAAAGCGCGCCTCGCGCCCATGATCTGCGGTGCAGCGGTCATCACGTCCCAGATTCCGTTGCCAGAGCCTGTGCACATCCAGACGCATCTCCGCCTCCAGTGCTTCCCATCCTCCTTCGCGAAACTTCGTACGATGTCGTCCATACCCTGCACATTGTTCATCTGCACCAGAACCAATCAATAGAACGCGTGCCTGCGACCGGTACCACGGTCTCCCATTGGCAGCGTTCCTCACGGCCGCTCCTCTCCTCTCTTCATGAGGAGCTTTGCTAGAGGCTTCCCGACCTGACTGCCCGAAAGGAATACAGACACTCTTCTTCTCGGCAGCCACGCCATCGCCAGTGTTTTGTCGCACATCTCCTTCACCATTGTTGGGGCGCTGTCTGACGGCCAATTCCTGATTGGTGCCTTTCTCCCCCATGAAGCCAGTGAAGCTGCCAGTTTGAACCGTTGGTACAGCCTCATCGACTGCATCGACCTGATCCCGGCTGGTCGTGCGGCCATGGACTGGAGCCGCTTTGCTGGAATCTCCTGCTCTGCCACCTACTTCCGCAGTTGCCTGGTTGTTGTCGTCATCAAAATGAACCCAGCCTTCACCCTTTGCTGCCAGCCATAGCACAGCGCCTATGTTCAAATCCATGTAGGTGTTGGAGGGATGGAGAAGGGAGAGAATGTGTTCCCGCTTCCTGTCGACCTCATCCAAAGTTGAATCCACTTTTATCAGGCGCCAATGTCTGGAGGGCAAAATTCGCCGCAGTTCTGCTAACCCTGCAATAGCTGTCTGCCTGTCCGGCGAGCAACCCCCATCAAAGCAAACATTGATAAGGTCAATAGGCCGATCATGTGGCACGTGTTTACCGGCGAGGCCCGCAATAATCATCGAGTCAACACCCCCGGAAAACAGAATGGCTACGGGAGACGCTGTGACCAGATCGACGCTTCCATGTCCGTCTTCTCTCTCCCTCGGAGTTGTTAGTCCCAACAGGTATCCTCCAGGCTGGCGGCACTCTCGGATATCCAAAACTCGGCGGCGAATGGACTCCTCCAGGGAAACCATAACCCTCTGCACAGCAGCATCAAAATAATCAGGAGATGGAACCATCCTCGTGGCCACACAACAATGATGCCTATCTTGATTAGGCGATGCACAGGAAGGCCCTGCGGCTGCCTGGCGGCAAAATTCTGTTGTCCTCGACATTGCTGCTTCCACAGAGTTAGAAGGGGCCGGGTGCACCAGGCAATGCTTGCAAAAGCCTATTGATGTCAACACACTCTCAGAAGAAGTACCTGCCGTTCCTTGCACAACGGCTGCGGCGGCTCCTCTATTCCACTCACTGATTGCTCTGAGGCAATCATCCTCCCATTTGTGCTTCCGCCACAGGCCAACCATCCCAGCACCAGCATTAGAGTCGTCGGAGGGTGAACGTTGCCTCCCTCTCCCTGTATTTTCCATGTCATAATTATCACTAGGGCGCGAGCTGTGAGCAGGGAGCTCCTGGGGAGGTAACACGACGCTGAAGATGCCACATGGCACATCTACCCAGGTATGAAGTGGTCCCCACAGCTGTGCTGCTTGGTGGTGATAAATCTGAAGATCATCATCATTCGCACAGTCATTGACGCAGGCCTTCCCAATGCGACTCCCCTCCATGCTCTCCCTTCTCTCTTGCTGCTTCTTCCTCCCCTTCATCCTTCTGGAACTCCCCTTTTTCTCTGCGCGGCCTGCTACTAAGCCGACATCCACTTGTGAAGATGCAACCAAGGCCTCCGGTCCACAAGCACTGTTTGCTGTTCTTGCCACCTTACCATCCTTGTCTTTCTCAGCGCCATCTGCGGCAGTCACAGCCGTTGCAGACCTTCTATGCGACACACTGTCAGATTGCGCTGGCATTTCAAAGGCAGACTGGTGCACGGCAGCCACACCCGCCTTTGCTCCTGCTAATACATCTCCGCGACTGTGGTCTCGAGATGACACGAGCGCTTTTGCCTGCTGTCCACACAAACACTGCCGATGCTCGCTGCACATGCGACAGCCGACTCCTGCCAGTTCTGCACCTTTGCTATTTCCCATTACAAAAGAGGAGAGACACACATTCGTATCACCTCTGTCGCCAACCGAACGCGCACTGCTGCCAGAAAAATGGAGACCGCAACATTTACTTTGTGCAGATCTGCTTTCTCCTTCCTGCCCGCTGGCCTCATCTTCGCCGTTTGCAAGACGACACCCGAAAGGCCTTCCAGGTGTGTCCCGCAGCCTGTTCTTGTCCGATTCCAAACCCTTGTTGCTTCCTATTTCACGTCTTTGCCGCTCCAGAGAGCAGCTTCCAACATCATCGACAACCTGTCTCTCTGCGGGCCTGCCATCAGCACCTAGAGCACCAATGCTTGGATCTGAGCAACAAGACGAGGACTCGTAGTTCAAGTTTGTGCCGCCACAAGGCCCACAACCACACCCCTCATGATTAAGAGCTTTCCCCTCCGCTCTTCCTTGGGCTTGCGTCTTCTGGGAGTCTGCTTGGTGATGTTGTTGCTCTACGCTGTTATTTCCTGCCGCTCCTGATGAAGGAGTTGACTCTAATATCACAGATGCAACCATCAGTCTCGCATCAAACCTGTCAGGGAAATGGGCGACAAGGCTCCTCCTGCCCACAGCGTCCCGGCCATACCACAGTGTGCTTGCACTGTTTTGCCAGTAAACAAACGCCCATGGGCCTCTTAGCCTCGACATAACCTTCGGGACGGTCAGACAGCCTTTCGCTGCATCCACACAACTGCCAGCCGAGTCGTAATCCACGTTGCCGACAGTGCCGCGCGATGTGCAGGAATGCCTATTGCAGGAGCTGCAGCATTGTCCCAAGGCATCAAGCAAGGCCTCAGCATCATTCCCGGACGATTCCATCTTCAGCCCGCCAAAGATCTCGCCATTGAAGGCCAGAACATTTCCAGCGCTGTCAATGAGCGGCTGTGATATCTTTCTTCGCCCGCGGAGTTGCAGACTCGACCCTGCGATAAGAATCGAAGCGAGGTCAGATTGACATATTGGGGGCGGGGGGTGCTCTTCTTTGGCAGCACAAATCGCTGTGGTGTGCTGCTTTGCCTCAACGCCTCTACAACCTGCATTTTTGTCGCAAGCTTCCAGCAAATTGGCCTCCGCCAATTGAGCTGAGAGAAGCTCGCCATCTCCGTCTTCTTCGACTTCATCTGTGGCTCTTTCAGAACACCACGCGCTCCACGAGTTCTTTCCAGACAGGCTCGGCTCTTCCTTCCCCCGGATATCCTGCAGCTCCGCCTGATCTGTGCCCTTGTCGAAGCCGTGTGCTGACGACGTCGCACCCCTCGTACAAGCTTGTCCGCCCTCCCGATTCTTATCGTTTGCCGAACGTTCTGCCGAGGATAGCGTCTGCGTACCTGTTGCCGACAACTCTTCCGCGCAAGGAAGACCGTTCTGCGCCTGCGAGCGGCTGCTCGCTGTTGATTCCACTTCTTCACTGTCGCCGCCATCTCCAGGTGCTGCGCTGACCGAGCATACAACCACGATGGTGGGATCCTTGCATCTGTGAGGGCTTGCTATAGCCACCCTGCATGAACCCAATCCATCGGGCCCTCTCCGTGAAAGCAGCCACAAGCTTGGTTCCTGTCCTTGTGAACGGTCAGAGATTCTCTGTGTGCCTGATACGCTGGGATTCCTCGCCACATTGGCATTCTGCTCCTGCTTACCCAAGGGATGGGGAGGCAAGGAGATCGGTCTGTTAAGCATGCACGATGAAGACGTCCATAATCGAAATTGCACAAGAGGCATGGAGGAGATGAAGAGAACCCGTGGTCGACGTTTTCCGAGTTTACATTTTTTAAGTTTTAACAGACGTTCGCAATTGTTTGATCGGAGTTTCAACAGGCCTTTTTATAAAGACATTCATAGTCATAACTAGATTTTTTTTTGACGAGGTTACCAACGGGCCTAGCTCAGTTGGTATACCCATGAACTGTTGAAACTTAAAATACAGATCCAAGTTCGAATCCAGATACGATCAGCTGACTAGATTATTAATTTTTATCTTCATTATTATAGTAATTCTGAATTACCAGGGGACGGTCAGTTCAATGATGATATCTCAAGGCCGTCGACTTAAAAAAAAAAAAAAAGATTTTGACGAGGTCGGGAGCCCACAGTTCCATAAAATACCCCTCCCCCACCCACACCTGCTCCTCCTCCACATAGATACGATTTCATTAGAGTGAGGATTACGCTGCCCATATATGTACAATAAACGTTTTTTTATTTAACTTGCATTTTGGAAAGAGTTTGAGTATAGGATTGGTATACTTGTTTTTGAAAGAAGACTGCACAGTGCATACAGATTGTTATGTTTTAGAAATGCACAGCCCTGTTTGTCTATCATAAAACTTGATAAAAGTGAATTTGAGAGTCCGTCTTGATGGCCTGCAAATGTTTGATTTCATGGTCGCATCTGCAAACGCGAACTTGGAATTTGGGACCAAGGGATACTTTTACTTTGCGCCCCTTCATTGTGGTCGTCCGAGGGGGGATACTTTTACTTTGCGCCCCTTCATTGTGGTCGTCCGAGGGGGGATACTTTTACTTTGCGTCCCTTCATTGTGGTCGTCCGAGGGTCCACAGGAGACTACGTACTATGGCCCCGAAGCGAAGGTTGATTTTTCTGCTGTTCTTTTCATGTTTGCCTTTGGGTTCTCTATAAGTGATTAGAGTGAGGATTACTCTGAGGAATCACTTTTTCTTCTCCCTCTTTTCCTCTCTGAAGCCACAATTATGGATTGTGAAGAAAAAAACAGGAAACTTTTTCTTCTCTGTGTTTTTCCCCCTCCGAAGCCGCATTTATGGATAGTGAAGAAAAAAACAGGAAAGAATTCCCATGCCACAATATGCCACACGTCTGACTTATTAAGCCTTTTTAAGCTGGGCTACCAGCCAGGCTGCCCGGGTCGCCAGCTCGTGCAACTCAAAGGACCAAGGAAAGTCCCAGCAGAAAAGAAAAAAAAAAAAAAAAAAAAAGAAACTATGTTATCATTGTTATGCGGAAAAATAAACTGAGTAACTTTTGCCTCAGGGTCACATCGAAATTCTTTACCAAAATTAAAATAAAAATAAAACTTTATAAAGTTTAAAAATTAARAACTTTTTTTTTTTTTTTTTTTTGGCCCC